GGGCCAGGTCTTGCCAGGAGACAGAGCATACCGCACCGGCAGCCTTGCCCACACCTGCCCTGACCAAAACTTTCTCCTTCAGCAGAACCAAAGCCAGAGATCCACCCATGTCCCTCCTGCTCTGTGGCCTTCTCCAGTCAGACATTCCTCAGCCAACATGTGAAACGCAATCACCCCTCTGAGATTCTGCCAGGAGCACCTGCAGGAAACCACTTCCAGTCAGAGGAACCCAGCCCAGAGGATCAGAATCAACAGCAGCAGCAACAAACTGGTCCACATGGCTGGAATGACAAAGCTGAAGGTCAAGAGGTCAAAGGAAGGTCCAAACCTTTGCTTAAAAGGATCAGGCAGAAGGGAACTTCAAGGGCCTCTTTCAAGCCTCCCAACGGACAGATGGGGAGCTCCAGTGAGCGTGAGGGAATAATGGAGGAAGAGCCCAGCGCAGGCCAGAATGTGAATCCAAAGAACACAGGCAAATTATTTGTGGGAGTAAAAAGGTCAAAAATTGTAACAATCAAGCCTGGAGGGTGTGGGCAAGGCTTCAATGATGGGTCACATATCGACACACACCAGAGGACACACTCAGGGGAGAAGCCATATGTTTGCAGGGAATGTGGGCGAGGCTTTACACGGAAGTCAACTCTCATCAGACACCAGAGGACACACTCACAGGAGAATCCCTATGTGTGCAGGGAGTGTGGGCGAGGCTTTAGAGATAGGTCGACTCTCATCACACACCAGAGGACACACTCAGGGGAGAAGCCCTATGTGTGCAGGGAGTGTGGGCGAGGCTTTACACAGAAGTCAGACCTCACCAACCAGAGGACACACTCAGGGGAGAAGCCCTATGTGTGCAGGGAGTGTGGGAGAGGCTTTACAACGAAGTCCAATCTCATCATCCACCAGAGGACACACTCAGGGGAGAAGCCCTATGTGTGCAGGGAGTGTGGGCGAGGCTTTACACAGAAGTCAGACCTCACCAAACACCAGAGGACACACTCAGGGGAGAAGCCCTATGTGTGCAGGGAGTGTGGGCGAGGCTTTACACAGAAGTCAGATCTCATCAAACACCAGAGGACACACTCAGGGGAGAAGCCCTATGTGTGCAGGGAGTGTGGGCGAGGCTTTACACAGAAGTCAGATCTCATCAAACACCAGAGGACACACTCAGGGGAGAAGCCCTATGTGTGCAGGGAGTGTGGGCGAGGCTTTACACAGAAGTCAGATCTCATCAAACACCAGAGGACACACTCAGGGGAGAAGCCCTATGTGTGCAGGGAGTGTGGGCGAGGCTTTACACAGAAGTCAGATCTCATCAGACACCAGAGAACACACTCAGGGGAGAAGCCCTATGT